CCAACCATCCAACCATCCAACCACCCAACCACTCAACCACCCACCTCCCCATCTCCCCCACCCACCTCTCCCTCCTCACTCTCCCCCCTCACCCCAAACTTCTCCCCCCAGCCCATCCCAGCCCAGCCCCACACCAGACGATGGAGAGGCAGAAGAAGATGTGCCGGATGACCGGGGTCCGGACCAGATCAGAGATGGTGTAGGAGGACTTCAAACCGGCCAACTCCTCCTCCATGTTCGCCTTCAGGTTCTGGGAGAGGAGGAAGCAGGAGAGGTTGGTGGGGGACACCAGTGGGCCCGTCCCCACTCGGTGGGGCCACCGCACCTCCACTGTGATCTTCTCCCCTTCCTCCTTCCTCCTGTTGATCCTGGCCACTCGTTGCAGGACCTTCACGGCCCTCTCGGCCTTCCCGGAGAGCACCAACCAGCGAGCGGACTCCGCCAACCACCTGCGGTCAACGAGAGGGGGAAACTGAGGCACGAAGACAGCCCCGTGTGACCCCCCATGGGGATACGAGCGTCCTACCAGGAGTAGAGGAGGAAGACGAAGAAGGGCAAGGAGACGGTGAGCTGGAGCCAGCGCCAGTGGGGGACGGTGTAGGCCACGGCGGCCAAGATGATCTGGCCCAGGGTGTAGGCGAAGCCGGTGATGGCCACGGTGATGGCGCGGTAGGGGGTGGGGATCCACTCCACCACTGCAAGGGGCGGCGGGGAGGTGTCTGAGTCGGTGTCGCCTCCCCACACGTCCAACGGCCTCCTCGTGGCCTCCAGACATGGCCACTGGGTTGTCCCCATTGGTGACCATTGGGATGTCCCCACCTGTGGCCATTGGGCTGTTCCGACCCAGGGCCACTGGGACGTCCCCATCCATGGCCATTGGGTCATCCCCAAACATGGCCATAGAGTTGTCCCCAACTGTGGCCATTGGGTCATCCTCATCTATGGCCATTGAGTTGTCCCCATCCATGGCCATGGTGATGACCTCATCAATGGCCACTGGGACGTCCCCATCCATGGCCATTGGGTCATCCTCATCTATGGCCATTGAGTTGTCCCCATCCATGGCCACTGGGGACATCCATGGCCATGGGGATGACCTCATCCATGGCCACTAGGGACAACCATGGCCATTGGGACATTCTCAACCATGGCCATTAAGTTGTCCCCATCCATGGCCACTGGGGACATCCATGGCCATGGGGATGACCTCATCCATGGCCACTGGGACATCCCCATCCATGGCCATGGGGTCATCCCTATCCATGGCCATAGAGTTGTCCCCAACTGTGGCCATTGGGTCATCCCCATCCATGGCCACTGGGTTGTCCCCATCAATGGTCATGGGGACGTCCTCAACTGTGGCCATTAGGTCTTCCTCATCTATGGCCACTGGGACTTCCCCATCCATGGCCATTGGGCCGTCCCCATTCATGGCCATGGGGTCACCTCCAACCATGGCCACTGGGTTGTCCCCATCAATGACCATGGTGATGTCCCCAACTATGGCCATTGAGTTGTCCCCATCCATGGCCATTGGGGACATCCATGGCCATGGTGATGTTCTCATCTGTGGCCATTGGGACATCCCCATCCATGGCCATGGCAATGTCCCTCTCCATGACCATGGTGATGTCCCCATCCGTGGTCACCGGGACATCCCCACTCATGGCCATTGGGACATCTCCATCCATGGCCACTGGGTCATCCCCAACCATGGCCATGGAGTTGTCCCCAACTGTGGCCATTGGGTCATCCTCATCTATGGCCACTGAGACATCCCCATCCATGGTCATTGGGACGTCACCATCCATGGCCATTGGGTCATCCCCATCTATGGCCACTGGGACGTCCCCATCCATGGTCATTGGGACGTCCCCATCCATGGCCACTGGGACATCCCCATCTACGGCCACTGGGACGTCCCCGTCCATGGCCACTGGGACGTCCCTACCCATGGCCATTGGGACATCTCCATCCACAGCCATTGGGTCACCTCCAACCATGGCCATTGGGACATCTCCATCCACAGCCATTGGGTCACCCCCATCCATGGCCACTGGGGCCAATCTATGGCCACTATGTTCGTCCCCACCCAGGTCCCCACGGTCCCCCTCACCCAAGCAGGCGATGCTGAGGCCGAAGCCGGACAGGGCCATGCCCCCAGCGAAGCGGAAGACGCAGTAGGAGGCGTAGTTGGGGGCGAAGGCCGTGCAGGTCCCCATCACCCCCAGCTGCAGGTAGGACCACATCAGCATCGCCTTGCGCCCGAACCTGCCAGGGGGGAGGCGTTGGGTACCACAGGGTCTGCCCAGTGCCCTCGTGGGGAAACTGAGGCACACGGGGAAGGCTTTACCTGTCTGAGAGGCCCCCCAAAACCAGGGCGCCCACCAGGACCCCAGCCATGTAGATGGACTGGGCC